ATTGGAAAATATAACTGAATTCTAAACATGCTTATCCAAAGTATAAAGTCTGAAAATACAGTGTTAGTAAACAGGAGGAGAGTAAACTTCCCTGTTGGGAAGAACACAAGTTACTGCTCTGGCTTTGGAGAGGTTTTCAGCCAGGGGCAATGTAGCTGCAGAGAAGATCGGGTAAAACTCTCCTGACGTGTTTGTGCTCATGATTGTCAGAGAGTAGGGAAGACAATATCAGACAAAGAATTGACAAAAGAAACTGATAGTTACAGATGAAGGAATTTTGTGCACTATGTAGAAAGTTGAAGTCATGAACAAAATTATCTTCTTGCAATACTGACAAAATATATCATGGGAACCATCAAGACATAAGGTGGAGAAAAACATCATATTCTGTAACATGGAGCTCTGTTTTCACAAATATTCTTACCAAAAGTCACTTCAGTAGCATCAGTAATATTCTTCACATGGGTAAGGGAAAGAAAAAAAACTATGGAAATAAAATTGAGGAAAAACAAATAAACATGAATGCAATAATTTTTCTGTTTCTGTGAGAAATATCCAGTTCAGACTACAGTGGACCTATTAATTGTTTGGGTTTTGTGGATATTACCCAATATTAGCTTTTCTGATTCTATAATTTTGGAATTTTGTGGATTTAAATTGTATCAATTTAAATTTTACTCAACTGCATTTTATAACACCCATTGTAGTGGTCTTTTATTATTTCATTAAATATATCCCAAGTAATTTTAGGCTTTGTTTGGGTTATAGCTTTCGGGATAGAGTTTTTCTTGTTATTTCTTTCTCAGTAAATTCATTATTGGTATGTAAACATGTTACTGGATTTTGTGTGCCAATTTTTTTCCCAAAATTTTACTGAGTTTCTGTATCATATCAAATACAATCTTTAGATTTTTCTCCAGATATAATCTTAACACATATAAAAATGGATAATTTGACTTCCCACTCTTGGATTTGGAGGTGCTTTATTTTTTCTTCCCTAATTGCTGCTGCTAAACTTCTAGTCACACAAGAAATAAATCACTGAAAATAGACATCTTGTCTCCCTTCAGATTGTGAAATGTCATCAAATGCTTAGTTTGATTTGTCACATGATCTTCCAAGGTAAATGTGCAAAAAATAAAAAAAAACATAGTAAAAAGTCATGTTCATGTGTTTCATATTTGTTTGTTTCCTCATAATAGTAAAGATGACACAGCCTACAAGTTCATGAAAAGATAATAAATGAATGAATGAATAAATAAATGAATGAATGAACAAAGAAAATGTATGTTTATCCAAAAGAATGCTATATAGTTATAAAGGAGAGAAAATTTCATTACTTGCTATGTGGTAGCTTGAACTATAGGATATGTCTAGAAGCAGTGTAGAGACTGAAGTATAGTAACTAGAAGTTACAAATGGTTATGTAATGGCAGAACACAGATAATAGATTAGATTACACGATTTCACATTGTATGTATGTGTTAAAATACCAATTAAATCCCAAACAATGTGTAAAATTAACATATTCCAATCAAAAATAAAATAAGCCATTTTAACTATTAATATAGCTCTGATAATATGTGATGAACTTTAAATTAAATTGACCCATTTAAATTGATGCCATAGAAAATAATAAGGTGTCTTCAATGAGGACATAACAGTTTCTCTTGAAAGGAATCTTCCAAGCAGAAAGCACAGCATAGCATCTATCCACACATGTTGCACATACTAAGAGATAGTTTGTAAATCCAATGTGAAGAAAACGTTAATAATTAGGAAGACTGTGTTCTTGGAATAATTAAATAAAAACTGAAAATTGGTGTCCTCTTAAAAGGGAGAGGAGAGTGGGCTTGGAATCAAAGTGGAGACTGTTACAGTTTCTCTGTATGGTCTACTAATTGGAGCACTGAGCCATGTTCCTGTTCAGAAGTGAGACCTGTCCTTTCCTCAATAGGATCACCACAATTCAGTGGTTCTTGCCATCTCTTTGTTATCTTCATGTGCTGAGAAGTTGGGAGGCTCTGTATTTGCTGACTGTTGGACAGTATTAAAAATCAGTTCCTGAACCTTGGAATAAAAGCCATACTCATGAAGTATGAAGCAAGAACTGCCCGTAGCTCTTAGGAACCAAAGTGGTAAGATGGGAATGGAATATTAGCTACCACACATGCCACTCAGAACTGGATGACTCAACACATTGATTTTTTTTTATTTCCTATACATTTTCATATAGAGGAGCTTTTTTGATGATTTAATACCATTTTCCATCCCAAGAAGATCATAAAGCTTGGTAAAAGACAGATTAAGGATCAACACAAATATACATGGAAAAAAGTAAGAGTGTATCTTCATTCATTAGAGTTCTTAGAGATGCAAATTCAGGAAACCAGAGAAATGTAAATAGTTCCACAGTAAAGAAAATGTCTGTGTTCTATACTAAGTGGAATTTGGGGGAAATAAAACTGAAACAAACATACAGCCAGATTAAAAAAAAAATCAACAAAAACTTCATTTTCTTCATACCCCACCCTCTTTACCTTCTTTTGGATCTAAGGCAGTGTAGGAGAATATAAATTACTCTATAACCTGTAAAATACGACTGATAATAGAAAAGTCAATATAGCAAGACTTTTCTGCTAGGAAAGGGAAATCTCAGAGACATATTGTTAGGATTCAGGCATTATGCTGGCCTGATGCACCCAGACGGTACCCTGGCCAGTCCACTCACTACTTAGTCTCTATGTAGATGCAAAAGGTCCATTTAGAGACAAGCTGTATCCATTCCTGCTCTCCTTCCCACTGTTCCTCTGGAGGGGCAGTTCCTGTCTCTCTCTTGTTCTCTTTTCTGTCTCTGTCTCTTTCTCTTCTCTTCCCTTCTCTCCCTTCTTTTTCTCCACGCCCTCCCCACCCCTAATAAGTCTTTCCACAGCTGCCTGACAGTGTTTGTCCCTCACCCATCATGGGGCTTCCAACAAAAGTTCCCCTAGTGCCATTTCCAACATTTGGTGTCACGAGAAACTCAGCAGGCTCTCCGTTGCAGCTCCTCCAGCCTGCTGGCAGTCTTGGGAGTGGCGGAGATCCTGCAATCCTTCAATCTAGTTACTTTTCCAACTAAGGAGTGCTGGAATTCTACACCCAACATTGGCAGAGCAGTAGACGCCGCCCCCCCCCCCACACACCTCCACACACAGTACATACTTCTCTGGCCATGTTTTCTATGAATGAGGATTAATCTCACTATTATGATTTCTCGCCTTTTAGCTCCTGTTGAAATTCCCGGTGTTGGGTAATCATGTGTCTCTAGGGCTCAAAATCCTTTGGGTTCCCCCTCCCCATGTAACTATGTAGGCATCCAGCTCTCACCCATTCACTCACCATGGCTCCTGGCAAGGCCATCTTGAACTGTGGTCCATGCTGAATCTCTGGGATGCTGGAGTTCAGACTTTGAACCTTCTCTAACTCACTCACGGAAACCGTGACACATCCACCCCTCATAAACTAAACCATATTAGTACCCTACATTCTTATGCTACATTCCACCAGTGATCCATAACCAGAAGTGCAGCCTCTGCTCTTTTTCCTGTTTTCTTTGCTTGTATGCCTCTCTCCTGCCCACCACAGTGGCCTCTTGCTGCCTCCCACTGTGATTAATTCACTAGACATCTCTTACTCCTGTTCAAAATGTCTCACTCTTCTGTTTGTCCTGTCTCTGCCACCATCCAGTCCAGGGTGACAGATCCCTCTCTCCTACCCAGCTGCAGGCTGGCAGTGTATGCTCAAGATGTTTCCTGTCTGCTTCATGTAAGAATGTGTGAATGGTGTGGCCACAGTAGTGTGATTCTGACTGTTAAATTCATGTTTTATGTGTCCTGTATGTCTGTCTTGTTAATTGGATCTATTTCATATTTGCATGACTACTCTAAAAAAGCACATGGTTTCTCAGTACCTTGCAACCTGTGAGCAGGCACTATCATGGCTAAGGGCAAGTCAGATGACCTCACCGCCATTTTTGCTAACGGTGACCACGTGGCCTCCACCATCTTGACTAAGGGCAAAAAAGGAAAGGCCAGGTGTCCTAGTCACCATCTTTATTAAGGGTTCTCTTTGCCTTGTCTCACCTTTTACTTACATTTTTATCTCTAATTCCTCTTATTGACTCTGTTGCATGTGACCTGTTTGCACAGTGATGTGCTTTTTGGCAGGGCCCACCAGAGCACTGACTTCATGCAGTAATTCTACCTGTCTTTAACAGCTCTCTTTCAACCATAACACATCAGCTTTGCCTTTCAGTACTGGCAGCTGGGTCTGATATGTGAAAGTCAGAGATGGAGAAGCAAGCTCGTTAATCAGCACACACTTGTTTCCTTTTCTTCTTATTCACACAATTTCTATTTAATACATATATGTGTATATGTGTGTGTCTGTGTCTGTGTGTGTGGTGTGTGTGTGTGTATGTGTCTGTGTTTGTGAGTAAGTGTAGCTATTGTCTAAGAAAAAATGCTTTAACAGTTCTAATAGACTCTGTTCATTGTATCTCCTTCTAGACTAAGAAAACAAGTCTCAAATACTTTAAATTGGTATGAACTTTTAAATGATGATAAAAATATATGGTTAGAGCTGTTACAACATACTGTATATGTGATTCAACTCTGCTTTAAAATATATTCTATATATTAATAAAAATTTAAGGTTATAAAGATCTATTTCAGTTTAACAAAAGCTAACTTAGAGACATCTCAGTTTGGGTCCAACTGTCCAGGCAGATCTTATACTGTAGTCATAACTTAGATATATCCATATACAGAAGTTCTCAAAACCTCAGAGATCTAGAGAATATGGCATTTAAAATGTTTAATTATTGGGAATGCTTTTTGTAATAAAAACAGGTTGGCTCCATCCACCACCCCTATTTCCTTTAAAGAAGATGCATTGGCACAGAAGAGCTTCCTTCCAGAGCTTGCTTCAAAGTGGCATTGCCAGCCACTGACCAAACCTACCTCTCACCTCAACTGCTCCAAGTCCTCTTCAGACCATGGGAAACAGCATACTGAGGAATTAACTGCCTCAGGTTGCCTAGGAAAAGGTAGACTGGTCTTTCTATAAACTTCCAATCCACAGTATCTTCTGAAGCCTGGCAGATCTCATGACAGCAACAGAAGACCTGCCCTCAACAACCATGGGGGACCCCAGGATGGCTGTCTAGGCACTTTTAATTATTAATTGAGATAAAACTTTATCCTTCTCAAGAATGCTGATGCAGCTTGATGTTAAAATTTGCCAGCTTGACAGCAGGAACTATGAATTCTCTGACCTTTGGTCGAAGTGGAGCAGACCCACCTCTATACTCAAATTACTGATTAACCACACCCTAGGTCAGGATCTCTTTTTTGTAGCTACACCTGTTGTCAACAACTTTGAGAGAACAAAAATAGGCTCAAACTCTCTGACCTTTAGTCAAGGTAGAACGGATTCACATCTGTGGGCCCTGGTAAGAGGTGCCAGGTTCCACATAGTCCAGACAGCGACACAACCAACGTGGCCAACATCCCAGATCCCATGAAGATTTTTGACGCTCCAGATCAGCAGGGAACAGTCTTGAGGATGTGGTACTCCTTCCCTCTCCCACCTGCTGTCATCTTTAATTTACCCCACCTTTTTATAATAAGAAAAAGATGAGAATGTGAGAGTTTGGGCTTTATACTAGCCCCTATCACCTGCCAAGAGGCACCCAGGCAGGCCAGCCCAGGGTCCCATGGCTGCTACATCACTATGTAGTCTCTGTGCAAAAGGTTCATTTAGGAGACAAACTCTGCCCATTCCTGCTCTCTTTCCCCCCTGTTCTTCTGAAGGGGCAGTCAGGACTCTCTCTCTCTCTCTCTCTCTCTCTCTCTCTCCTCTTCTTTTCCGTTGTATTCTCTTCCTTTCTCTCCCTTGACTTTACCCATTCCCTCCCTTTCTTTTAATAAAATGTCCCACTTAAGTTCTATCTGCCTCAACACACATGATTCCTTCTCACTCAGGTAAAATCAAAAGGAGAGGAAAATGAAGAAAAAAAAAAGGTCTCTGCAGAATTTATCAATTGTAGTGTTTAGACATTTTTAACTTGACAAAAGTTAGAAATATCTGAAATTGAGAAATTGCTCTAAAAGACTGCTCAGGAGGCAAAACTGCAGGGAATTTTCTTTGATGATTGATTTGTGAAAGCCCAGATCATTGTGTATGATTCAAAGCTGGGCAGATGGAATAAGAAAGCTAAACTAGGGTTTGGGAACAAGTCAGTAATGTTCTTTCATGGCCTCTCTGTTCCTGTCTCTTCATTCATGCCTTGAATTTCTGCCCTGATTTGTTTCAACGATCAATCTGATCTGAGTTGTCAGATGAGAACAAACTTTTTATCCTCAAATTACTTTGGTCACGGCACTTTAGCATGGTGACAGATACATTGAAATAGAAATTGGCACAAGGTTCACGGACTAGTGCTGTGATAAACTTTACCATGTTTTAAGGAAAAACTGTGAAAGGACTTTGGCTTTAGGCTGGCATAGTCGAGAAAATCCACAGATTCAACTAACTTGTCCTCATAAGGGCTCACAGAGAGCTTGCATGGGTCAAACTTAGGGCCTCTGCATAAATAAATATATATGAGAGGTGTGTGGTGGTGTTCTTATGGAACTCCTAACTGTGGAAGCAGGGGCTGGCCCTGACTCTATTCCTTGCTTTTGGAATCTTTTCTTTCTACTGGGTTACCTTGTACAACCTTAATAAGAAAGGAAGTGCCTAGTCTTTCTATAACTTGTTGTGTCACGACTGGCTGATATACATGGGAGAAATCTCTTTTCTAAAAAGAAAATATGAGGAGTGTACAGGTTTGGGGAGAAACTTGGAGGAGCAGAAGGAGGAGAAATTGTGATAGGACTGGAAAAAAATTTCATTAATTAACATAAAACATAAAAGAGAACAGAACAATAGAAAGTAAAACATAGGAAGAAAGAGAAGAAAGAAAAAAGGAAGGAAAGAATGAAGGGAGAGAGAGAGAAAAAGAGAAAACAAAAATCAAATATGGTTTGCTGTCTTGGGGGACAAGTCAATGAGATGTTATGTAAGAATAAGCTGTCACTGAGGAAGTCAAAATCATCTAGGAAGTCAAATAGAGAAGCAGATGAAGGACACAGTAAGTTAGGAAAGGAAACATTTGGGAGGAATAAGTACTGTGTAATAGACCTGTAATATATTCAGGCAGAAATCGGCTGACTCAGGATGGCAGCTAAGAAAAACACTATTTACCTGGTTTTATCTACTTCAGATACCTGACATTTGCTGGCCCATAGGAGAGTATTTTTCAGATAAGATACAAATCACAGAAGACTACAAAATTATGTCTGTCTGGGGCGATTTGTTAAGTAAGATTTCTATGAATTGATAGGTTTTGCTGAGGATAGCTGAGACATTAGGAACAAAATTATGTTTATAAGCTTACACAAACACACATAGAAACATATAATGAAATATAAATACATACACAAATTAGGACACTGGCATCCATTAATTCTTCAAATGAACATGTACAAGCACAGAAAACAGCTGTCATTTGGAAAGGAAAAACAATTCTATTCCAGGGAGGATACAGCTGTCCCGCTGAAGGGAGACCCCAGAGCTTACGGAGTTTTGAACAGGTACTTGCTGCTGGGTCAAGTCAAACTTCCTTTCTGGGGACTGATTGCTCTTATGTAGAGTATGTGCTGACAATTTCTGAATGCATTTGGACGCCGCATGAACATAAAGTCCCCCCTTTGTGTGAGTGATGCCTTTCCCAAACAGGGATGCTTCCATTGGATAGCTGAAAGCAAGGATAATACAAAATCAATTCCGTGTGTCTGTCTGTGTGTGTGGGTGTGGGGGTGTGTAGACTTCCCTTTGGTATGTTTGACTTTTCATTATCACTATAATATCAATTCATGCTATTATAAACAAAAAGAAAGCATTAACAGACAAATAAAAAAACTCAGACATCTGGAGACCCTTCACCAGCACAACTCAAAGAAGGGATGCACACGAACTCTACTACTAAAAAAGTGACCGGAGTTAACAACCCCTGGTCATTAATATCACTTAATGTCAATGGGCTCAACTCACCTATAAAAAGGCACAGGCTAAGAGATTGGATACGAAAGCAGGATCCAACATTCTGCTGTTTACAAGAAACACACCTCAAACACAGAGACAGGCACCTACTCAGAGTAAA